GCCAGAGGGCCCCCCGTCTCTCCTGAACCCAGCCCCCGGCGTGTCGTCGTCGTCTCCCCCCCCCCCAGAGCAGGGCGGATTCCCCGCGAGAGAAGGGGGGTGGGTGTAACCCGAGGGGGGGGTCGGGGCGAGGCGGGAGGCGGTTGAGGCGCCGAAGGGTTTGGGGGCGTCCGTCGCCTCCGCTTCTCCCCGGGCTGTCCGGACAGCCTCATGCATATGCTAATCGGCATGCATCATGCAGCGCCGGCCCCTGTCCTCGGCCGCGCGGATCGGGGCGGGGCGGAGGCTTCCTTTGTGGGGCGGCCCCTCCCTGGCAGGAGCTCTTCCCCCTCTGCCAGCCTACATTTTTTTGAAGGGATGCTGCTTTTCAGTCCCGCGCGGCTGCTCGCCTCCTGCCGGGCACCAGATCCGGGGCGTGGACTGGGAAAGCCTTTGTTCGAACCGGCTCCAGAAGAGGAGTCTGATGCGGAGGTGCCCCTGCACTGAGAGGAGTCGCTGGCTTTGGCACATCTCCCCGGCTGATCTGAAGGGGGGTGGGGTGGGGGTGCGCGCAGCTCCGGGATCCTGCCCGTCCTGTCCTCGGGAGCCGTCCTCTGCCCGTGGATCGTCCCGTTTCGTCCAGATCAACCGTGTGAGGAAGGTTCAGAGGAGAGAGTTGTGAGCTTGTGCCCATTCTGGAGGGCAAGGCGTCTGACTTGGACTGGGGAGACATGAGAGCAAATCCTCCGGTGCAGGCCTGCACCGGAGGATTTGCACTCATGTCTCCCCAGTCCAAGTCAGACGCCTTGCCCTCCAGAATGGGCACAAGCTCACAACTCTCTGCCCCGGCCGGGATGTGCGTGATGGGCCTGCAGAGGCTGAGTCGTCTGGGCGTCTCCAGCGGGAGCCCCCTCATTGCAGGCATGAGTCACCGGCAACGGGCCCTTCTCAGAACACCGCTGGCGGCAGCCAGTGCTGGGGGAGGGGGCCATGGCAGGTAGACGGACCCCCTTTCACACACACCCTGGTTCCTGGTGCGGCCTGGTGACGACGAGGGCTCTGTCCCCTAAAGAGCGGGGCCGGTGAAGAGGCCCCTCCCCAGCCCCACGAGGATTCAGCAGGGGCCCCCCCCGCCCGAAAAGCACCTGGACAGGCCTTTGCCCCCCTTCTGCTGACTAGGAGCAGCCAACATCTTTGTCAACAGAAACTCTTCCTTGTCATCCTGTAAGAGGAACCCGTTTAAGCCTCTACCTGCGAGGAGCCCTTTGTTTCTAGGCGAGGTGCTAGAAACTGAACCGTAAGCAGCGGCTCTTCTGGGAGCACTCAGAGAAATGGCCCCTGTCCGGTGTTTCCCCTAAGCTGAGTTAGTGTGAGCCAGCTCACTTTTTTTAGCCTCCGGCTCACACATTTTTGTCTCAGCTCAGGAAGGGAGGGCTCCAGAGCAAACTAATCTATGCAGCAGTCAAGTCGCTGGCTCACAACTTTAATGACAGCAGCTCACAAAGGAGAGTTTTTGCTCACAAGGCTCCGCCGCTTAGAGAGAACATCGCCCCTGTCTGCCTCCTACGCTGCTCGTCTTCTGGAGTCTGCCCCAGTATCCAGCAATGGAAAGGCACGCGCTGTTTCCCCGTCCTCTGACGCTGTGCGGCTCTCTCTCACTCCCAAGACAGAAGAACGCTGCTGTGTTTCAAACGTGCACTGGAACCTGAGCAGCCCTCGGCTGCTTTCTCTTCCCTTCACGGCTAAAAGCATCAGTTCCTGGGCTGAAGGAGGGGGCAGATCTGGTTCAAGAGCGGGGCAGCGTCCGGCTTGAGCGTCCCCTCTTCTATCTGGGCTGGACGTGAGAAGAGGCAAGCCGACCAGGAAGTTGGGTTCCTGGCTGCAGCACCGGCTCAAAATAGGTTGCATGTCACTTTGACGGCGGCGTGTGGGCGGTGGTGGTTTCAGCACCATGGCCAGATCCCTCCAGCTGCACAGGTGACTCTCAGGAAGAGGCCTTGGCTGCTGGAAGCCAATGGCCAGAGACGGATGAAGGCTCACTGGTGCCCTAAGCACTGACTCATCTTGGTGCCCCCCACCCTCCTTTCCACACTGACCCAGTCCATTTTAGCTGTTGACCTGTCTGACCAGATATACAATGCAGGTTGCAGCCATACAGAAATTTATTCATATGATGATAACACAATATACTGTACAAACTAAGCTTTTCACCCTTTCCCCTACTGTGTGGCGCCCCCTTTGGCCCTGGTGCCCTAAGCACGTGCTTAGTCTGCTTCATGGTTCATCTGCCCCTGCCAATGGCCACTTGCTGCTTTCTGCCCAGTAGCCCTTTCGAGGGTGGTTTTGCTGATAATCTCCAATTACTAAGGATGGGGAAACTGCCAATAAGATGAGCTGCTGGCCGAAGCAGCAAATGCAATCTGGCAAATACTCTCTTAAGTCCATCACACAGAATCTGTCTTAAATCCATGGCTAATTCCACAGAACTGCCTGCCCTCTCTGAGATCTATAGGAGAGAGCAGCCTTACCGGATCTGACCCTTGCTCTTTTCGGCCCACCACACCAGGGCTCTGACAGATGCTTTGCTGAAAGCACAATATAGAACAGAGCTGGACTTCTCCATCCACATCTTTGGACTTCCCAGCTGCCCAGGGTGGAGGACTATGCCTGGAAGGAGGAGACCCTGCCCTTTCTAACCGACTCTTGTTATTCCTTCAGTTCTGGGAGGTGATCAGCGATGAACACGGGATAGACCCCAGTGGGAACTATGTCGGAGACTCCGATCTGCAGCTGGAAAGGATCAGCGTTTATTACAATGAAGCCTCCTGTAAGTTGTACTTTCAGCCCTGGTCTTTCCATCCCTTCTTTCTGGGCCATTAGAAATGACATCAGAAATATGCTACCAAACTGCCTGGGCATTAAGGATCCTTCCCTAAGGGCTGGAAATGGCACCCAGGGTGTCTTCTCGAACTGAAGAGAAGCCATGCTTATAGCCACCACCACTTCCTGCAGCAGTGAATTCCATGTGTTAGTTACTCTTTGGGTGAAGAAGGACATCCTTTTATCTGTTCTAAACCTGCTGCTCATTGATTTCACTGAGTGCCGATGAATTCTTCCATTGTGAGAAAGGGAGAAAAGTATTTCTTTCTCTGCCTTCTCTATCTCATGCATAATTTTGTAAAACTCTATCCTGTCACCCCTGAGTTGTTGTTTCTCCAGGCTAAAGAGCCCTAAGCTCTTGAATGTTTCTTCATAGGGAAAGTGTTCCACCCCCTTAATCATTTTGGTCACCCTTTTCTGCACTTTTCCTACTGCTGTATCTTTTTTGAGGTACGGTGATCAGAACTGTACACAGTATTCCAAATGAGGCTGCACCTGGAGTACCCCACTGCTGACCACCTTCTGCTGTGAAAATTGCCCATTTATACACACTCTTCGTTTCCTGTTAAATAACCAGTTTTTAACCCAAAAGAGGCCTTGTCCACATTCTTATGCCAATACTGCTTAGGAGCCCTTGATGAAAAACTTTATCAAAAACTTTCTGGAACTCTGGGGTAAAAAACATCCACTGAGTCACCCTTGTCTTTGTTTGTTCACCCCCTCAAAGAACTCTAACAGGTTAGTCAGACAAGATCTTCCCTTGCAAAATCCATACCGATTCTTCCTCAGTAGCTTTTGTTCATCAATGTGCTTACTAATTCTATCTTTACTAGCAGCTTCCACCAACTCACCCAGTATCAACATTAGACTGACTGGCCTGTAATTCCCCAGATCTCCTCTGGAACCTTTTTTTTTTTTAAATTGTGGGTTACATTAGCTACCTTCTAGTCCTCAGGAATGGAGGCAGATATTAATGATTGCATATTTTTCCCATGAGATCCCCAAGTTCACATTTGAGGTCTTTCAGAACTCTTGGATGTGTGCCACCTGGGCCTGGTGATTTGTCAAGCCTCCCTCCCTCGGGGGAAATGAGGCAGCCACGGAAATGCTGAAGGCCCAACTGCCGGCTAAATTTCCTCTTTGCATAGAGAGCCCCCCTTAGTGCCCTCCGTTGGTCCCAACTGACCTCCTGGACTTCAGCTTAATCTTCCTTAGAGAGACAGTTCTGTACAGAAGCATGAGGCATTTCCTAGTCAAGAGCTGGGAAGTGGCTTGTGGGACTGAGGGAGGAAGTATGGGAGGGAAACCGGCACTGCTGTATAGACACCTCTATCCAGCTAGCATTGCTAACAGGTGCATACACTGAGTGGGGAGGAGTCAGATCCGATCCCACGCTTGGCCTTCCTTGTGCAGCACTCAACAAAGGAGTCTGGAGGCTCTCCGTCACGGGAAGACACCTCCACGCCTGGGAGTGAGCCTGATGGTGCTGAGTTCTAGCCCGGGTGGGAGATAACAGGGCGGCACTTCCCCAGGGACCCTCCCTTCAAGGAGAACCTTTTCTGCTCTTCCAGCTCACAAGTATGTTCCTCGCGCCATCCTCGTGGACCTGGAACCCGGCACCATGGACAGCGTCAGGTCGGGTGCTTTCGGCCACCTCTTCAGACCCGACAACTTCATCTTTGGTATTGTCCCTCCCTCCCTTCCGTCCTTCCCTTCCCCTCAGAGCTTCCCCATCCAGTTCTGCATGCTCTCAGGCTGGACCAATTTAAAGACTGTAGGACAGTGATGGCGAACCTTTTAGAGACCGAGTGCCCAAACGGCGACCCAGAACCCACTTATTTATCACAAAGTGCCAACATGGCAATTTAACCTGAATACTGAGGTTTTTCTTTAGAAAAGAACACTCGTACAATTAACTTAAAATGATCCAAACAAAGTAAGGAAAGCAATCCCAAATGCTTTCATTTCCTTACAATTATTTGGCAGAGACTTCGACACTTTAATGATGGTCTGGGCCTGGCTGGGGCGATGGCACGCGTGCCCACAGAGAGGGCTCTGAGTGCCACCTCTGGCACCCGTGCCATAGGTTCACCACCACTGCCGTGGGAGCTTTGAGCAGGGAACGAGGAGGGCTCAGAGTATCTGCTCTGCATGCTGAAGGCCTCAGTCTCCATCCCTGGCATTGCCAGTAGAAACGGTGATGCCTTCATGGGTGGGGTCTGCCTGAGGCCCTGGAGATCCACTGCCAGCCACCTTAGACCAGCCCCGAGCTTAACAGAGACCAAAGGCCTGACTCGGCAGAAGGCAGTGTCACCTGTTCATGTCTGGGAGCACCTGGCTATGGAAGATGAGGACTGTGGGTCAGAGAGCCTGAGCAGAGACTTCCCTCCTGGCCAATGTTCCCTCTAAGCTGAGTTAGTGTGAGCTAGCTCACACTAACTCAGCTTAGAGGGAACACTGCTCCTGGCCCCTCTTGGGTTTCTGGGCCTTCCCTGGGCATCTCCAGATCACATCCCACCTATCTGGGGAGAACAGGGAACAGGCAAGGTGCACAGAAGACTGTGAGCCAGCTGCCTTTTACGCCTCACGGCTCCCTGATGCAATTTGCCTTCCAAAGCACCTGTGGGGAGACCCAGCACGGATCACAGCCACAGGGTGGGGAATTTTTAAAAACGTCTTTCCCCTGCTGCCCATTTCCCCGCTCAAAAGTGGCAGGGAAAAGGCAGATATATGAAACAAGCAATGGCTTTTTCTGCCATGTGGGCTAAATGCATCATGGTGGGGTGTGTGTGTCTTGTTCTGACTGAGGAGACAGCTTGGAGAAAACAGCTCATTTCCCTTTTCCTGACCACAGTTCTTATTAACACCAACACATGCACCCCGGCCACTGTTTGAAATTTCATATTTGGGGATCTGCTTAGAGACATTTCCCGGTCTTAAATGGCATCTGCTGAAAACAAATTGCCTTTTACACTTCTCCAAGTGCTTAAGGTTGTGCAAACTGGTGGGATATGGTCTGGAAAAAATCTGCTCTGAGAGACAAATACAACAGTTTTCCCACTGGAAATATCTAACTGTTTAAAATCCAGCTGGATGATTGTTGGGTTTAAAAAGGAAAAATTGGTATTTAGCAGAGATAAAATAGCTTAGCAGTGCTAGAGTAAAATAATTCAGAGTCCATGTGTGATTAAAATAGAAAGTTTTTACTACATTCTAGCATGGGGAAGGGTAACTGGGATGAAAATAACAACAGTGCTAAATGGCTACATCCTTACACTACAAAAGACAAGACTAGAAGAGAGATAATGGCTGCTCTTCTTTCTGCTTCAGAATTCCAAACAAAGATGGGAAGAGAAGCCATAAAATGCTAAAACACCTTGACACTTTACTTCCAATGAAACTCCTAGATCAGGGAGAATTTCCCGGGCTTCCAGCATCTAAACTAACATTGGTTACATGGGAAACATGTGATTTCCTGTGAGCAGCACAAACAAACATTTAACCCCAGATATACTGAGTGTAATTTAACTTGTAATACCCAACAATGATTTCATGAATTCTGCCGCCATCGGGCTCCCTTTGAACCGAAGCTCATTCCCCCCCCCCCCCCGGGATCAGAACCTCCCGCTTCTCCTGTGCCCCGGGGGGGGGGGCTTGCAAGGAGCAGAGTCAGAGGGTGTCTCTTCCTTCCTTCCTTCCTCCCCAGGTCAAAGTGGTGCAGGGAACAACTGGGCGAAGGGGCACTACACAGAGGGTGCCGAGCTGGTGGACTCTGTCCTGGACGTGGTGCGGAAGGAGTGTGAGAACTGTGACTGTCTGCAGGGCTTCCAGCTCACCCACTCCCTGGGCGGGGGCACAGGGTCTGGAATGGGGACCCTCCTCATTAGCAAAGTCCGTGAAGAGTACCCCGACCGGATCATGAACACTTTCAGTGTGGTGCCTTCCCCCAAAGTGTCTGACACGGTGGTGGAGCCCTACAATGCCACCTTGTCCATCCACCAGCTGGTGGAAAACACCGACGAGACCTACTGCATCGACAACGAGGCCCTCTACGACATCTGCTTCCGCACCCTCAAGCTGGCCACACCCACCTACGGAGACCTCAACCACCTCGTCTCCGCCACCATGAGCGGCGTGACCACCTCCCTGCGGTTCCCCGGGCAGCTCAACGCCGACCTCCGCAAGCTGGCCGTCAACATGGTGCCCTTTCCCCGCCTCCACTTCTTCATGCCCGGCTTCGCCCCCCTCACCAGCCGGGGCAGCCAGCAGTACCGGGCCCTGACCGTGCCGGAGCTCACCCAGCAGATGTTCGACGCCAAGAACATGATGGCCGCCTGCGACCCCCGCCACGGCCGCTACCTGACCGTCGCGGCGATCTTCCGTGGGAGGATGTCCATGAAGGAGGTGGACGAGCAGATGCTGGCCATCCAGAGCAAGAACAGCAGCTATTTTGTGGAGTGGATCCCCAACAACGTCAAGGTGGCCGTCTGCGACATCCCTCCGCGGGGCCTGAAGATGTCCTCCACCTTCATCGGCAACAGCACGGCCATCCAGGAGCTCTTCAAGCGCATCTCAGAGCAGTTCACGGCCATGTTCCGGCGCAAGGCCTTCCTCCACTGGTACACGGGCGAGGGCATGGATGAGATGGAGTTCACAGAGGCCGAGAGCAACATGAACGACCTGGTCTCAGAGTATCAGCAGTACCAGGATGCGACAGCTGAAGAGGAAGGCGAGATGTACGAGGATGACGAGGAGGAGTCCGAGGCCCAAGGTGCCAAGTGAGAGTTCCGGGCCAGGGGCCGTGTCCAGTTCCTCCCGGTGAGAGCTGAGCACCGACAAGGCCCTCTAGTTCATCGTCCTCCATTTTTGCTACCCCTTTGCTGAGTTCTAGGCAACCAGCCGCTAGTTGCTTCTGATTCAAGGGTTCCAAACTGGAAGACTGTTCCGTATGTAACTGTCTTCCCCCTCCCCTCCCCCCCGTGTCTTCTCAGTTAGCGCCGCTCCCTCTGTCCTCCATCACTTTAATAACGTCAAGGGCCCTGGTCTTTATTTTTTATTGGTCTGTGTCTATTTTTATGTTTTGGAATACTTAATAAATCTATTGCTGTCCAGCACCTGAGTTATCCTTCTCTTTGCAGCTTCTGGGGGGTGGAAGGCTCTGGACTGAGGCCCGAGGCAACCATGCCTCTGAACTCCCCCCCCCGGCTTGGCCTGGGGAAGGGAGGGTTCTAGCATGCAAGGACAGGTTGGAAGACACACACACACATACACACCACAAGGCCCCTGCCAAAGGCTTCCGAAAGCGCCCCTTCCTGGCTGTTTTGCATGAGAAGAAAGAAAAGACTGGGTGGGGCTGAGGTGTCCATGCCCCAGCCTCTCTGCCTGGAAAGAAGACAACGGCTGTTACCTGCATTGTGACTTACACGTGGTGTGTGTGGCCACTGGGCACAGGTGGGCTTTTGCATCCTGCAGGCTCAGCACCAGCTATTAGCTCAGGTAACTGCAGAGGGAAGAAGTCGCCTTGAGGTCACCCCTTGGACAGGGCCCAGAGACGGTGGCTTCTGGAGACACAGCAAAAGTGTTGGGATTCTTTGATTCAGGGTCGATGGTCGTATTGCAAACACAAGAGCCACACTTAGTAAAAGAAAAATATCTTTACTATAAAACAAAATAAAACATAGATAGGGTACTTTGGATAAAAGAAATAAAATAAAAGGTTACATACTTGCAGTTACTCTCAGTAGTATATGCTAACAGCTACATCTTTCTATCTGTCTTGGCTTCTAGAAGGAGAACTACCGCTTTGGTTCACACAAAGGGCCATAAACCTTGTGAAAACATGAATGCTAGATCAAAGCATTTCTACACACAAGATGTTAGTTGACCAATACAAAGGTTACAGGTCACTTCATTAGGATAAACAACTCCCATAAACTTTCCCAACCGTTGAGTACATTATGTAATGTAACATCCTGTTTCCTAACAAACAACATTTAACTCTGTAATGACTGAAGTGTAAGCAACTTGCAATTCCAACAGGAAGGCTTCAGCTCCCTCTGACCAGGTGCCCGCCTTTCTCCATCCCATTTGTAACCGCAGCCTTCTTCTCCCAGGAGCTGGGGGGGGCAGGGTTCCTGGTTCTCCCCCCCCCCAGTTCCTGACCTCACAACAGTCTTATCAAGGAGTAGGTCTCTCCCACTGAGCTGCACCCAGCCTCCGACTCTCTAACCAAGACCTTTAACCCCTAGTCTAGAAACTTCTGGCACATTTTTTTGTTGTTCAGTTGCACAGTCGAGCCCATACTGGTTTAACTGGCCTCCCCAAGGAACCTGGGGAAAATGCGAATACACAATGAGGGTGGGGGGGGGGAGGAAGAGATCTCCAGCAGAATTCTAAACCACTCTGAATTGTGGTTTCCAGGATTTTTTTTTTTGGGGGGGGCACTAGGATTACTGAATTGTGGCTCAGAGGTAGAACCTCTGCTTGGCATGCAGAAGACCTTGGGGTTCAGTCTCCAGGTTAAAGGATCCGGTAGGAGGTGATGGGAAAGACCCTTTCCTGCCAGAGGCTCTGGGGAGATGCTGCCGGTCTTGCCTTGACGGACTGATGCTCTGATCCCGTGGAAGGCAGCTCCACCTGCTCATTCAGGGGGGGAGGGGGGGTTGTGGGCGGCTCAGTGGAAGAGCCTCTCCTCGGCGTGCGGAGGGCCCCAGGCTCAATCCACCCACCCCCCAGTTCCAAAGGGCCAGGCAGTCGGTGCCCTGGAGGGCCTCCGGCCCGGTACCCTGGAGGGCTGCGGCTGCCACCAAACAGGAAATCACGCGGATGGACTGAGGGTCTCAGCCTGTTTACATACGTGCAGCCAGCACGCGCCTCGCCCCCCCCTTCGTAGAAGCTTTTTTTGGGGGGGGGGCGGAGTGGGACCCCCGAAGAGGTCCTCCCATTGGCCACCGGCCCGGGCTGGGGCGCGTTCCGGAGACGGGCGCGGGTGTGGGCCAGAGAGGCTCGGCAGCAGGCAGGCGCCCTGCCCGGGAAGCCCAGCGCCCGGCCGGACTCCCCT